TCGAGCATGCCACTGCACCGTTTGATGAGATCGAACGATACCAAACGGGCAGGTACATAAGCAGCAACGAGGCAGTTTGGCGTATCCTGGGTTTCAGGATACACGAACATTACCCACCTGTCACCCATCTACATGTCCATCTAGAGAATGGACAACGCGTCTACTTCACGGCTGATAATGCGCGGGAAAGAGCTGCGCAACCACCTCAAACAACTTTGACGGCATTTTTCCTTCTATGCCAACATGATCCGTTCGCACGGACTTTGTTGTACTCAGAAGTTCCAAGATATTATACTTGGAACAAGTCAACAAAGAAATGGGCCAGAAGGAAGCAAGGAGCCGAAGTTCCCGGACAACCTGGCATACGTGCTGCGGATGTGTTAGCGCGTGTATACACTGTACACCCTAACCAAGCCGAATGCTTCTACCTCAGATTGTTGCTTCACACAATCCGAGGACCGACGTCATTCGCAGCATTGAGGACCATCGATGGAGAGGAATGTGAGACCTACAGAGAAGCATGCCAAAGACTTGGCTTGCTTGAAGATGATCAGCAATGGGACAGAACTCTCGCAGAAGCAGCTACGACAAGTTTCGCTGCTCAACTGCGAAGTCTCTTCGGCATCATTTTGACCGTCTGTAAACCGTCAAATCCTCGAGCACTCTGGGAGAAGTACAAAGAGGCTCTGAGTGAAGATGTACTCAGGGAATGTCGCAGAGGGTTACCCTCTGCAGACATCAGTTACTCTCCCGAGATATTCAACCGAGCGTTGATACTGCTTGAGGATACGTGCGTGTCGATGAACGGTCAAACTCTCAGAGACCTAGGTTTGACGCCGCCAATACGCGGAGATGACCAGGCACTCGAGAGCGATGTTCTCCGAGAGAGGTCCTATGATGCCGATCAGCTGACCAGATTTGTAGAGTCTAACAGACCTCTTCTTACGGAGGATCAAGAGTTGGTCTACCGTGCTGTTCTGGACACGATTTCCAGTGGCAGAGGTGGGCTACTCTTTCTCGACGCTCCGGGTGGAACAGGGAAAACGTTCCTCATCAATCTCCTACTTGCCGAGATTCGCAGACAAGGAGGAATCGCAGTAGCAGTGGCATCCTCGGGGATTGCCTCAACACTGCTAGAAGGAGGCCGAACTGCTCATTCAGCCTTCAAGCTTCCTCTGGATATTGCTCATGTAGAGCACCCAGTGTGTGGGATAAGCAAAGGCACAGGGAAAGCCAAGGTGCTACAAGAAACCAAACTCATAGTTTGGGACGAATGCACCATGGCGCATAAGAAGTGCCTGGAAGCCCTTGACAACACACTGCGAGACATCCGAGAAAGCGACACGCTAATGGGTGGGGCCGTCGTGCTACTGGCAGGCGACTTTCGTCAGACTCTGCCAGTAATTCCGCGATCGACTCCAGCAGATGAGCTGAACGCTTGCCTTAAAGCTTCTCCTCTCTGGAGACATGTTCGATCGCTGAATCTCACGACGAACATGCGAGTCCACCTCCTTGGCGATGAGACTGCCCGAAACTTTGCACAACAGCTGTTGCTTCTTGGCGAAGGCAGAATTCCGGTTGAACCAAGTTTTGGCTGGATTACCTTCCCTCCAGACTTCTGCAATATGGTTCAATCGGTGGGAGAACTGATCGAAAAGGTCTTCCCAAACATTGCCACCAACTTCAGCAATGGGGACTGGATTTGCGAGCGAGCAATTCTGGCACCCAAAAATGAGCAAGTGGATTCTATCAATGCTCAGATTTTAAACAGCCTACCTGGACCGGTATCAACGTACACGTCCTTTGATACCATGGTTCAGCGTGAACAGGCTGTTTACTTCCCCACTGAGTTCTTGAATTCACTCCAGCCCAATGGGATACCACCTCACAGACTTGATCTGAAGGTTGGTTTGCCAATCATGCTCCTTCGTAACATCAACCCACCGAGGATGTGCAATGGTACAAGGCTTTGCATCAGGGATCTCATGCCAAACGTCATAGTAGCGACCATATTGGCGGGGAAGTTCAAAGGCGAAGTCGTTCATGTTCCACGAATCCCTTTCGTCCCCTCCGATATGCCCTTTGAGTTCAGGCGAGTGCAGTTTCCGGTCAGGCCTGCACTTGCTATGACGATCAACAAAGCGCAAGGACAGTCTCTACGAACAGTAGGAGTAGACCTGGAAACTCCCTGTTTTTCGCATGGTCAACTGTACGTGGCGTGTTCGAGGGTCGGGAGTCCGGCGAACCTGTACATATATGCGCCCGAAGGGAGCACGACTAACGTAGTGTATCCCAGGGCGCTAACATAATTGCATGCTGTAGTATAGTACAGTATTTATTTGTTGCATGCCATTCTATTGGAAAATCCAAAAAAATTGGAAAATACAAAATCCAAAAAAATGGCAAAACGAAAACCCAAAAAAACGGCAAAACGAAAACCCAAAAAAACGGAGGCCAGCGGCGGTCAGGGCAGGTGGGTGGGACAAACAAGAAGCTGGACAGATCCAGTCGAGCTTCCCTCCTTACTGATGAGTTCCGGGGAAAGCCTAGGACCTGTTTAGCCAAACCATCTAAGGGTAGGAACGAAACGGTACATCCTCTTCTTGAGGAACAAAACGGAAGGACGACTATCGGCATCGGCTGCCTCTGTTGAGGACAACCATCGGTCGCCTCACTCGGAGGACAACCATCGGATGTCTATCGAGGACAGCCATCGGTTGCCTCACTTGGAGGACAACCATCGGTACAACCATCGGTTGCCTCTCTTGAGGACAACCATCGGTACAACCATCGGTTGCCTCTGTTGAGGACAACCATCGGTACAACCATCGGTTGCCTCTGTTGAGGACAACCATCGGTGCAACCATCGGTTGCCTCCGTTGAGGACAACCATCGGTACAACCATCGGTTGCCTCTGTTGAGGACAACCATCGGTTGCCTCACTCGGAGGACAACCATCGGATGTCTATCGAGGACAGCCATCGGTTGCCTCACTTGGAGGACAACCATCGGTACAACCATCGGTTGCCTCTGTTGAGGACAACCATCGGTACAACCATCGGTTGCCTCTGTTGAGGACAACCATCGGTTGCCTCACTCGGAGGACAACCATCGGATGTCTATCGAGGACAGCCATCGGTTGCCTCACTTGGAGGACAACCATCGGTACAACCATCGGTTGCCTCCGTTGAACAACCATCGGTACAACCATCGGTTGCCTCTCTTGAGGACAACCATCGGTACAACCATCGGTTGCCTCTGTTGAGGACAACCATCGGTTGCCTCACTCGGAGGACAACCATCGGTACAACCATCGGTTGCCTCTGTTGAGGACAACCATCGGTACAACCATCGGTTGCCTCCGTTGAACAACCATCGGTACAACCATCGGTTGCCTCTCTTGAGGACAACCATCGGTACAACCATCGGTTGCCTCTGTTGAGGACAACCATCGTACCAACCATCGGTTGCCTCCGTTGAACAACCATCGGTACAACCATCGGTTGCCTCTCTTGAGGACAACCATCGGTACAACCATCGGTTGCCTCTCTTGAGGACAACCATCGGTACAACCATCGGTTGCCTCTGTTGAGGACAACCATCGGTGCAACCATCGGTTGCCTCCGTTGAGGACAACCATCGGTACAACCATCGGTTGCCTCTGTTGAGGACAACCATCGGTTGCCTCTGTTGAGGACAACCATCGGTTGCCTCACTCGGAGGACAACCATCGGATGTCTATCGAGGACAGCCATCGGTTGCCTCACTTGGAGGACAACCATCGGTACAACCATCGGTTGCCTCTGTTGAGGACAACCATCGGTACAACCATCGGTTGCCTCTGTTGAGGACAACCATCGGTTGCCTCACTCGGAGGACAACCATCGGATGTCTATCGAGGACAGCCATCGGTTGCCTCACTTGGAGGACAACCATCGGTACAACCATCGGTTGCCTCTCTTGAGAACAACCATCGGTACAACCATCGGTTGCCTCTGTTGAGGACAACCATCGGTTGCCTCACTCGGAGGACAACCATCGGTACAACCATCGGTTGCCTCTGTTGAGGACAACGATCGGTACAACCATCGGTTGCCTCCGTTGAACAACCATCGGTACAACCATCGGTTGCCTCTCTTGAGGACAACCATCGGTACAACCATCGGTTGCCTCTCTTGAGGACAACCATCGGTACAACCATCGGTTGCCTCTGTTGAGGACAACCATCGTACCAACCATCGATTGCCTCTGTTGAGGACAACCATCGGTTGCCTCTGTTGAGATAACCATCGGTAGCCTCTGTTGAGGATAACCATCGGTTGCCTCTGTTGAGGACAACCACAATTAAAAAGCCAAAGTTGTTTTCTCTTCTTGGGGAATATAACTTCGTTTTTTTTACCGAAGTGTATGTGATGCCGGGCGGAGCCGGGTATGCCAGCTAGTTTTTTAATAAAAGCAAGCAATTTTTTCATTTTAGAAGTTATATTTGGAAATCTCCTTTGCATGTTGCTCAAACTTACATCTCGTCAAATGACTGCACATCTTTTGCTAGCATTTAAGAGCAGGCAATAACTTTTGTCCTTTTTCCCGTTTTTTTTTGGAAAAAATTAATATTTTGACGGTTATTACCACATATAGATTGATTTACCAGAGTGTAGGGACCATAATTTCTTATACATAGCAAGTTTGAGCACCAATGTCAATTCCTATAGGAGTTTTTCTAAAACTTCCAATTTTCTGTTACAAAAATTTGAAGTACTCTGCTTTTGTATGAAAGCTTGATGTATGAAAAAGAAAGCATAACAAAAATACAAATAATAATATACAAATACGTATTACAAAAATCAGGCATGTTGTAAATTTATTCAATCAATAGCATTATATAGCTTTAGAATTATTTACAGTTGATTTTCGGGTAGTGAGTATCATCTGCTTCTGTAAAAATGTATTCAATAAGCATTGAATGATTTGTCATCTGTTAATGCATTATCTTACTTTAGGAGAGTGTAAAGAGAGTTACTGCCCCAAAGGAGAATTGAGGGGTAGCCCAACTCGGATACTTTTGACATCATTAACCTGCAATGCAATGAGTCAATGGATTGATGATCAAAATACTGTCTATAGTAGCGCGCAATGTGAATACCGTAAGTTTTACATTTTCTCTTTGTTGGAATAATCAGTATCGATTGATTATTTTTAGCTTGCAATCAATGCACAGATTTGTGCATTTGCGGAATGACATGTCCTGTAGGATTCGTGTGTACAGCAGTGGAGACTCAAGCAGGTTAATCCTATTCTATTTTCTTCCCCAAAATTGCTGTAAATAATTGTAATTTGTCCACCGTTCAATAGATTAGTTCAAAAAGGCCGCTCAAAGCGTTACATTGCTAGACTGCTTCTCCATATTATTAAGAATTTTTAAAAAGAGATTAAGACTTCTGATCACTTATATTGCCATACTCAGGTCAATGTCCAGTTGCTGGCTGTCTTAGTGGAGTTATGCGAGCATCTCCCGGAGAAGTGATTGTCCCTTCCCTTACCTGTGATGGTGATGCACAGTGGGTTGACGAGCAGAATAAAGTCTACACTTCTGCGCAATGCGAGGAGTGTGAGTTTATCATTTTTGATATGATGGGACGCAAGTTTTTCAAGCAGATTACTCGTAGCGAATGTGGAATAAGTAGAATGTTTGGAAGATAAATGCGTTAGCAAATTTTTAAACAAAATTGGGTTCCTGGAAGTTCAGTAGTTACCTAGGCGACACCGGATTATCAGTGACATTTTTTTTTTCAAAAACCATCCAAAAACGATTAATTACCAAAGAAAAAAAGTATTTCGAAATTCGTTCTTTGTCGATCTAAAACATTCTGAATATAGCATTTTAGCATGCACGGAATGCACAGCATTAACCAACAGCGGAATGGACTGTCCAAAAGGATTCCTATGTGAACCAGCTACCCGACGTGAAGGTATTTTTTTGGGACACACAAAGCAAAATCGGTAATTTATGCATTGGTTCTGAGCGGTACGAAAGTAATTGACTATGGCCACTGTCTATCCTAGTTACAGGTCCCTTAGTTCACAATATGGACGTAACGCTCTAGGACAGAGTAGAAAAATATCAACGAAGACTTCTAACCCACAGTACATTGCCGTACTGCAAGACAGCACAGCCCGCTCTTGCTCCGCGTGCTAGCAAGAAACAAAAACTGTTCACCTTTTTTCCTTGAGAAACAAGGAGTAATCCGTCTCCATTAAGTGAAAGTGGCCACCTATGGTTTATCTTCTGAGAATCTTTCCATGGGTTCCTCCGTGCAGCCTATTTGCTGCCTTTGACTCGTTGGCACAGTGCACCGAGGTGGCAAAGACGCGTCAAAGGCAGCGCAAAGGCGCGAAAGGCACGCGAAGCGGTAGTGCGTATGGGGAGAACTCTGGAACACATACATCACTATCCCGTCTTTATATTTTGTTCAGCTGAGTGCTCTCAACGGTTAACTTTGACCAGTTACAAGCGCATAGGCTGCTGCATGACGAAGGCGCAATATCTTTGGGCGCGAACGCGGCTTTATTGGGGCCGCAGAGCGCATGAGGCACACCTACAACGGTGAGGATACGCACGCGTCGCGTTCGCGGCGGCTCAACTAATACTGCTTCTGCGCTTTCGTCATGCAGTAGCCTTTAAATGCTTGGATTGTTTGAAGAAATTTTACATTTGTCAAAGAAAAAAACGAGTTGTTGGTGGCTTTTTTTCATTGTATATGACTCTTTTTTTGATTTATGGATGGACGTTATAGCGCAATGCTCCGAAACCTATTGCCCCACTGGTGCTCTCACTGGAAATCTAGCAAGAACAATGTTGGGAGTTTTGACCTGTGATGTTACCGCTGAATGGCTCGATGCGCAATCTGCGTCGTATACTGTAGCGCAGTGTGAGATTCGTAAGTTACTTGGTTTTTGATATATTTTACGATTTTTGAATATAATGAGAATACTGCAGCTTGTGATCGATGTCCTGCCTTAACAAGGACAGGAATGTCATGTCCCTCAGGTATTGTGTGCACTTCAGTCATGACAAGGAATACTGGTAAGTCTCTTGACCCTGTGTCTTGTAGAAGAACTTCAATTTTAGGACAATGCCCTGAAAGTTATTGTGAGTCTGGCTCGATGACGGCTGGATCCGGACGAACAACTGTCACATCATTGTCTTGTAATGGAGCCCAGCAATGGGTAGACTCTCAGTCAACAGTGTACACTTCCGCTCAATGCGAAACATGTAAGTTCAGAAGCTGAAACTGATTTTCTGGAAGATTTATTTGTCTGTTTAGCATGTATATGCCCACCATTGCCTATTACGACCCCACCCCCATCCATGACCGTCAGAGGAAACGCTTTGACCATGGCGAATGGCTGTTCAACCTTAGGTACCGGCTGTAGGGCATCGGATCAATTCAGGTAGGCAACAAAAATGTTCAAAAAAATTGCAGCCAAAAGTTCTTATGACATGTGGAGAAGAACGAAAAGATTTGATTTTATTGGAAACTGCAATTCGCAATTATCAATAACTGAAAGAAGTGGAAATAGAGATGGAAAATAGGAGAGGGCGGAGTATGGGGCAGCAGGTGCACTGGCGATATTTTGATAATAGGATTGTGGAACTGTGGAACTTGAGATATGCAACAGTAAATAGGTTAGCCCGAAAGCTCTGTCGCTCCATTTCTAAAAATTCATAAATTCCTTTATTCTCAGCCGATTTGCACAGTTTTGAATTTTCTTAAAGACAAAGTCAATTTCTTTTGGGTAATAGCTGAAGTTGCTTGTTAGAAGCGTGCCAAGGATATAGAAGCTGGGTAAGAAAATTAGTCAATTTTCGAATTTCCTGTTCGTTTACTCGTAAAAATCTGGAACGTGTCAGTTGATATTCTTACTATCTGCTCTTTCTAACTGAGCAAAATCTGCGCTGATTGAACGTCGGTACATATTTACATATGATTTTTGAGTTATGATTTTTGAGCAAGCAGTACGAAACAGTGAATTTGATTTTCTGCCATTTTTTCGAAAATCACAACTTTTTGTGGACGTTTAATTAGTGCAAACTTCGCTCAATTAGGAAAAGCAGGTAGTGAACCTATAATACAAGTGCTAATTTTCTTGTAAGTTTAGGATTTTTTTATCACCAAACTCAGAAAACTGGAAGATTAAGTAATTTTTTTTACGGAGAATTAAGTGATTTCCTTCACCGGCTTCGATCTCTGGAGCTTGCTTTTATCGGCACCTTAGATACTTTTGAGAAGACATGGTTTTCTCTTCTAAATTAAATCAAAAATGTTAGATGAAATCAAAAATGTGCAAATGGGTTGAGAATGAAAGAAGTTGTAAATTTTTTAAAAATGGTGCGAACGAACTCAAGAAATCAAAAAAAGTATTTTGGAACGTTTTTCTTTATTTTACAAAGCAATGCATCAGAAGGAACAAATAATCAACCTTTTTATAAACGGGTTTAAAACTTTTCAACGGTATTTTTTTGCAGCTTAAAAAAGCAACACTTTCGTTATACTTTGCAGACATAATGAGATCGCTTTTTTCTTGCATTAAAAATTATATAACAAACTTTCATCTGCTGTGTGACTAACCTCCAAAATTGTTTACAGACTCGTGACACCTAATGGCGTAGTTACTCTGGAACCTCCGGCTGGACGAACATCCACCTGGACTTGTGACGGTGGTCAGTGGAAAATAACTATCAATGGTGTGCCGACCATTGTGCAAGAGCAAGCTTGTTATAGCTTTGGTAAATTCTTCTATTTATTTTTTCATTTGTTACATTACATAGCGTAATATGTCATCATAGAGAAAAGTCATTACCTTCGATTCAACGGGATTGGCGGCTGGAAGGCGGGGCTTCGAGGCCTAATAAAGGCTAGGGAATGGTCAGAGAGCACGCCCGCGAGAGAGACGCAGATTGCGTTGCGGGCGCGAGCGCTCGTTTTCCAGCAGCCAATCCCGTTGAATTAAAGGGCACATATCTTAGAAAAATAAGATAGGACATCAAACATATAGTTATAAATGCATCTAACTATTCAACCTATCTCCATAAGTTCATTATAAAAAGTCAGAATACTGAAAAGTCTTGTGTTTTCCACTTATGACAACTCATTCAGGATGCACCTCCTGCAATGGCGTTCGCGCAGGAACTGGAGTCATACTCACATTAGCCTACGATCCAACCACTTGGTGTAGTACATACGCGCTAAGTGGCTGTCCCAATGGTTACAGGTATGATTAATTACAAATCTAAGGCAGTAATTCTATCAAAAGTCTGCTTTTTCAGAGTTGGGAGCACCGCCATCACCTCCACCTTAACATGTAACCAAAATAGTAGGTGGACGAGTGGAGCCTTCACCAGTCCAAATGCTGGGCTTCTCACCGTGAACTGCGTCTAAGGAACGTGATTACGGAAGCAAGAGCTAGAAATTTCTGTAGTCAGTTAATATAGCGCATCAATGACGTTTCTGCTATAAGAGTGGATCAATTAGAACCTTGTTATTATTACAATGCAGCAATATTATGTACGCTTTTTACTCGTAATTCCGCTGTATCTCAAATTGGCAATGTTCTCGGGTGTTTGTATGCATTTTCCTTAATAATTTTGCTAATAAATATTCCAGTGCAGCTATACTTACAAAAAATGGTTCCAGTGTTTTTGTCATAAAACATCTCTTCTTTGTAGCATAAAAAGAGAGAGATTTAGGTATTCTTTCAAACGTTGGCTTCCATCAATAAGCCTGTGACGCAAATAGCTTAGAAGGAAAGGATACTAGGTAGAAGTGGTGTTTCCATATGAGTTGCGTATTATTTTAAAGAGCATTGAAGGCTGATTCCAGGTCTGCTTTCGGTGTCCGCAAAGCGCTTCTGGAAGGGAAGTTATGGGAATTTTACGAAGTAGAAATTCAATAATTTGCCTAAGCTAAAGATAGGTGTTGAGGTCTTTTCCGCGCTTGAAAGGAGTAATGCATAAGTTTATTAGACTGAAGGCCTTATTCTATAAAACGCCCGGTTGTAATCATGGCCCCTAGAACTCACGGACTAAGGTTCCGAATAATTTTATTGTAGAGGCGCTTTCAAATGTTTGCGTCAATAAATTTCCATAACTCCCCTCTCAGAAGCGCTTTGCAGATACCGAAAGTAGGTTTCAGCTCAGCATTCCATGCTCTATAAAACAGTGTACTTTTTGTATGGAAACGCCACTTCGACCAAGTATCCATTGCTTGTTAGAGGTACGTAAAGTTTTGCTCTGAAATGTGGATACATTGATAAGACATAAGCCGTTCATCTTGTTAACATATCCAAAAACACTTAAACGCGTAAAACCTGGACATACTTCACGCGAATTCAGTCGACGCGAATTGGCAGAACTCCAACTGTTCATGAGTCATCGTAGTCGCATTTGAATGTACAGAAAATGAATCACTTTTTGGATCTACTATATACGAAAATTATACACACTATGCATTTGTAGTTGGCAATTGCCAGATCGCGTGGAGACTGAAATCGCGTGAAGTATGCCCCTACTAAGACAGTCGAAGGAATACCTCCGGCGGACAAATGGCGCGGGTCTGCCACTCCGCGCTCAGGAGCGCTCCGGAGCCCTCCAATTTTACCCATTTTGGTGCTCCGGGACTCTCCCAAATCTGGCGCACCTCCGGAGCAGAGATTTGTGAGTCCCGGAGAGGGGTCCCATCCGCCTGCTTGTGACGTCACCGTGTGTCACCAATATCCACATTCTGGCGAAGAGTCGTTTTGATTTCCGTCAGAAGGGACGCAGCAAAAATGTAATTTCGACACTCTTGAAGATTTTCTGGGATGCTTTCGTATAAACTATTTGCGCATTATCTCAGCGTAAGTAATTTTAAAAATTTCGCAACTCATTCGGGGGAAAGGGACCTTCCCTTCTTGGTCCACTCTCTCATAGATTACGTCTGTGCTATCAAAACATTTTTATACGCATACAGGCCCCGTAAAATCCAATTGCCCACGCGTCGCTTTGAACACCAACGCGCGGCGCGGCTGGAAACGTTTGATCCCGAAGCGCTACAGGCTTTTTACGAGCGACAATGAGCGCGCACCCTTTCCACACATATTTTTATAAACTTGTGAAGGGAGCTCTCGTCAAGATATACCTTGCATTGACGAGAACAACATGAAAGTTAAAGAAAAATTTCCCGGAATATAGTGACGCCGACAGTCGCTCGCGACAACCGCTCACTTACGATGGTGTTCAAGGCAAGGCGCGGGCAATTAGGTTTCACGGCGCCTATACAAAGCTCTGCCAAAATTTCGATGTGAGGACGGAAAAAAAACTTAGCGGGTCTTCTAGTGCCCGCAAGCGTAGAGCGCAGTGGCTTGCCTTCATTCTGGCACTGGCAGGATGAATCATGCAATAACAGGAGAGCGCGCCACGTTCGCAAGCGCTCATCCTATAGCGGTACGCGCAATCTTGTGCGGTTGACCATAGTAATACCATTGAAAGTCTGATTCGTAAGGTTTATAGGTTGCTACCGCTTGAATCCACAGATAAGAACCGTCTTTCGAACAGCAAACTAGCACATGCATGGCCTGTGGGTTTACTACTACGTTTGAACTGTCTCCGAAATGATGCAGAGCGATCGCATATCTTTGCTGGCATAGAAGGACGATTTCTACGAAAAGTTTGATCAGAGATATATGCAGGAAACGGATGACAATTGACTTGCCTGATTGAGTGTATCTTTCCGTCGCAACACTTTCAGTTCGATGCTCATAAAAAGCGTTTGCTGCATAGCTTATCCGTTAGTGATCAGGGATATACAGCGTTAATCAGTGCAGAGAAAAGGTCACGATCAGGCGCTGCGATAAACAGTATCATCACAGTGGCAGTAGTGTCTTCGTGATATGGAAGACAGGTTGCAAAAGCCACAGATATCTCTAGCATCAAGGCGTCGCTAAAAAAACTGATAACTGCTCGGACATCCGCCACTACTTGTATATACAAGAGGTTTGAAAAACCTTTTGTCTAATCTCGTTACCTTTTTTTGTTAGTAAGCGGTTCAATGTCAGAATGCCAACCTTAAAATTTGGGTATCCACACAGCATTTTTTACTGCGATCTTTAAAAGGGCCTTGGTACATCAATGCTAGCTCAGTAGATCATGTTTCCGCACTGCTGTACCTGGGCTTTTCTAACAACTGACGGTCTTCTTGCTCTTGATGTGATTATAGATAGTGGCTGTATGCCGACATCGCTGAATTTATTCAATTTGTAATCTGTATTAACCATCAAGAGCAAACAGAAAGTATGCGCTCTTCTACTATTGGAATGGATGAATGCAGTGTAACAGGTAATGACGATTATGTTTTTCCAACTCTGTTGTATCCATCACACCGAAAACTTCAAACGGTTTATACGTACAATGCGTCCACTTTAAGATACTCATTCGTAATTAAGAGAGGTCTAATATGAAAGCATAGTTTTGATGAAAATTGATACGACAGATGGTTAATCTAAGCGTTTAAGTGTAATCAGCTCTGCAGCAGTTGATGCTCAATCGCCACTACTTGAGGTGCGTTCCTGCTTGTACATCTCCAAAGTGTCAAGTGCATCAATCAGAAGTCGCCGAAGATGGTCTGTATGGGTGACTTCGAAGGCCCATAGCTAAAAGATAAACAGGTTTCGAGCACACGTGTAAAATAACAAACCTCTCTAGCACGGCTGAATGACGAAGCAGCGAATGTTGCTACTACTGTCAATATGATGATTCCCGTCGCTACTACAAGAACCGCAGTAATCCTAAGAGAATCAAGTTAAACATCTAAAGAGATATTGATTCACATGTGTAGACACTGCACCAGTATGGCGCAAACTTTAGTACCGCTCTCAAAGTCGCGGCTTTTTGTTAATTGTCGTGAACCTGATTCTGATCAATTTTAATTTTAAGTAGCCGTCTTATTTTGTTTGCGAGAGCTTGCTTTTCTCAGTTATTTGCGCTTGAAGCGCTCCGCAGCTAGGGTTTGCCCTTTCCCTAACCCTTTCCTTCCCTTAAAGCACTTCCGGAGAATGAGAAAAGAGTGAGAAGACACTCAGCCTTGCCACAAAAACCTATTGCAAAGCTTAATTCAAGACTACGGCCGAGTGAATGCGCCAAATTTTGGCAAGCCAAAACTGTGTGCGACTAAGATATAAGCAACAACACGGTCACGTTCACACTTCATCTCGGAATAGCCTTGCGATTGCTTTCGCAGGTACGTTGGCTGTTCAATGAATAAATAAAATGAAGATTCAAATTATGCGCCTATGCTTACATCCTTTTGAATATTGCTCATATCAAACACACTCCGTCGTGCTTTACCGAAAGCGTTTCTTTCCTATACAAAGGTTTCAACAACTCAATGTCCGTCAACATAAAAAAAAATACGAAGACGTAAGGACCCTGACTCTGCGTACAGCGCCTGTTTGTCCTTCCAAAATCAAGCAAGACAGTGGATGAGCAGAACTATCTAGCAGCTTAGGGGCAATGTTAGGGCGAAACGCCAACCAAAAAATTTTTGCAGAATTGGCACAATATATAAGCACTCGATGAGTCCGCAAATGGACGGAATGAGAATTTTGTACGGTTCTACACCAGAAAACAGTAATGCACAAGAATTTCTACTGATCTGCGCGCTTGATTTGCTTTGGAGAGTGTAGAAAACAACATGTGTTATTTGGAGCTTGTGGAGGGTTTAATTCTGTGCCATATTTTCCTTCGACAATTTGAGTTCGTCCAGTGCTGCAATGAGCTGCTTATCGTCGTCTAAGCACCACTTGTTAGTACGTCTCATCTCATTGCAGTCGTTTGGCCCTGCTACGCACCAATGCGTCAACCTCTCGCAGAGGCTCGTGCTGGTCCTACTATCCGCATGCCTTCCTCGAAGTCGTAAAATGATGTCTTTGAAGCTTACCGCGCAATGCCGACATTAGAACTAAATTGTGAACAGCTACTCATTCAGCTATTATTTTCAGAAATTTTTTCAATTTAAGATCGATGACTTTGAGAGGAAGGAGGTATTCTCCAAAAGAATAAATGAGACTTCGAATCAGTTACTGGAGTTATAATGGGATGATAGTCGCCATAATGGTGATGATAACCGTGAGTCACATCTCCAATCAAAAATCTTCTTGAATATGTAGGAAAAACCTTGACAAATCGACTATTTACGAAATTATATCTTTTTAAATCCGATCTTGCGTGAAAGTAAACTTTTTGCACTTTTCACTGGGTTGAAGTCCATGGTTTGCAAAGTTACTTGTCGAATGAATCCATGATTTTGGAAATAGTCCATTTACAGGCCCACTTTGACGCGCCAGAAGTCGCATGGGTCCGTTCTTTGGCGCACAGTTTTCACAAGTCCCACTTATCGGATCGGCTTGTTCCTTTACAAACTTTGCCTACATGCTGATAGGGTGAGGAGGAGCACTGGCTTAATCTTGCATTTTGGTTGATACTGTTGCTTGTCGAGAGGGTTGTGCTCTTTTCTGTAGTCGATAAGGTGTTTGATCGAATAGTTCAGTTATGTTTTTCGAATTTTCAGACTCTGTAGAAGGCGAGTTCGCCGAAACGTCAGTCTGTATATTGTGGAATATATATCTGTACCAATCTTGGACGCTGCTAAAGAAACTAATCAGCTGATAGAGTGCTACTGCGAAAATGCTAATTAAGGCCTTTGCTGGAACCCGCTCTACGAAAATTTCGTGACAGACAGAAATTTATAACACAGACAAACGTAAACAACCCTTGGACCGTTATTATAAGTTATGATGAAAAAAAAACAGTTAATTTCCACCAAAAGCGAGGGGAGAAGCTAAACAGCTCCTTCTAATTGCAAATTCTTAGGTAGTGTATTATTATTATATGTAGATACGTGAAACATCACAATCGATATACCTGTATTGCACTACAGTAATTTGTGTAGGATACGATAGCAGCAGTGAACACATTAAAAGAACAAATATGGATAAACACATGCCACCTGCTTGGAAGGCGTGGCAAATGAGAAGCGGCCAGCTGAACGGTATGCAAGTGGAGGCTTTGAGCCGGCTCAAAAATGAAGAATTCAATAATTTACAGAACTTACCAATTGAATATGACTGCAAAGTAGAATTGCAAAAATAGACAGAAGAACAAAAAAGCGGCACAAACAAAACAGTAACCTGAAAATGAGTGCATTGCTTGGCAAACATAGATTAGAGTTAAATACGTGGGTTAACACCTACACTAATTAGTTGAGATAATAAAATGTACAAGGTGCCCAAAATGTGAAGACTGTTGAATCATTAATAACTCCTTTGCTTCCATTCTTTTGCCGAGCTTAAGTAAGCATTGTGTAGAGCGAGGTTTAATTTAGATATACAGCTTGAAGCTGATCATTAATCGCTCTTCATTACCGTAGGATTACGGTAGGAACTTTGACAAGGATTTTAGGTTGTTGAAGGCCATTGTCTGCCTCGGCACAAAACCAGACAGGCCAGAAACTCTTGTACTATGGTAACGGAAGCCGCTAATTTTGAATATGAAATTCCACTTTACTGTGATGCTTCTTTTCAACGTTATCCTATGTAAAAATATTGATTGGACTTCCAGCATTGTTAGAAATGTGATTACACCGCCGAAAAAGCTGAAAAGACTCGTAAAAAGTTGTGTAGTAGAATCAGCTTGCGCGAGTACCTGGTATACGATTTTTCAGAATTTTTGAAAAAAAAAATGGTCAGATGGACAATGGTTTCGCATGCTGGAAATTCTTACCATAATTCTACAGTAACGAAAAGCAATCGGTGATTTGCTCCATAATGTGGACTTACGTTAAACATTGCTCCACAGAATGTTGCCTCAAGCTTGCCGAAAGACATGAAAGCAAGGGAGTTATTAAAGATTAAACAGTGTTCACATTCTTTGTGACACGCTGCGCTGTATCGAAATACAGGAAAGAAAAGAGATGTCTGCAAATTCTTTCAATACTATTTATGGTAGTAGTAGAATTCATACGATATTTGTTCGTTTATTGAAGTAAACAAATGCTAGGGACTGGTCTTTCGGTAGAGAGTAGGGGACAATATGTCAACAATAGGCTCCATCCCGCCCGGACAGTTGGTAGAGATCTACAATCTGTTTCACACCGGAGTATGCGAAGCAGCTGATTTGCAACAGCGCGTCAGCATCGCTGGAAGTTTTGCGAGCGCTCAACGCTTGCATTTTGCCAAGAAAAAAATAAGGAAAACGGAGAGACGCAGAGATGGGTTCTTACCACGATATGATATAGTGTATACGCCAGTCAGCTTCCATAGGTGCGTCCGCGACGCGCCAGCAGCGCATACCTTCAGCGCGCTTTCGTTTCGGCCTCATAGAGAATTTTATGCCTTTCTTTCTAGACTGACTTTGCTTGTTTGTGGTCGGTCTATCGCAGGCTTAGACGGTTCACGACAACTGCCAGTGATAGGTTTTTCACGAGCCTTAATAGTTTTGAGAGCTTTTGTCTCAACAATTCTATTTTCCTATAAGTGTTTTTGAACGGCGGCCAAGATTGATATACAAACAATTCATTGACTGCCGTCTTCAGAGCCTGTAATCAAAGGCCGCCGTTCAAAAACGTATGATAATCGAGTCATGCCAAGATTCATAGAAGGTCGAACATGGAAAATATTAGAAGAAATTCCATTTTCTTCTTAATAGTGAATATCTTAGTACATTTAGACGAATATCTTTTCAAAGGTTTTATCATTGAATAAGTGTGCTTATGAAATACTAGCTGATAGCCCGGCCTCACCCGGGCTCCAAATTAGTTTAGCTAACAAAACATGTGAACTTACGCTTCTAAACTTCTTAAAACGTGCGCCAAAAGCGCTTTGAGACGACTTGTAGCGTCCTCCCGACTTTGAGATAGAAATAGACTCTACCGCCCTGCTTACATGATCATGGAAAAATGATCGGTTGGAGCATGAAAAGTTTTCATTCTTCTGGATTTGAGTAAACAAACCAATAAATCGATAGAAGGGTCCAGTGAATCGCAGCGGAAAGTAGCCCTAAACCACCGCCGGGGTGGAAAACATACGTGTGCAAAGTTTCAGCTCAGTCGGTTCAATGACTGGCGTTTCTATAACGAACGAACAACTAAACGAACATCCTCACAGACATTGAGCTTTATATATATACTAGCTGGCTTACCCGGCTCCGCCGTATCCGGACCAAACTTGGCACACATACACTTCGGGCCCCGGCGGGTGTCACAGTCCACTTTTCGTTATCGATCGATGTCGATTTTACCGATTTTTATCGATTTTTTCGCAGAGTTCACCTACAGGGCTAGGAGTTGGCACAGGGGGGAAGTGAGCATGGGAATTCTGAATACAATATTAGTTTTCAGAATTATCGGTTACTTTTATTGATTTTCTCGATTTTTTGTAAATTTTGACATGCGAGGCTGAGATTTTGCACAGGGGGGTAATCGAGCATGCTGATTACGAACACAATATTAGTTTTCAGGATCGTCCATTACTTTTATCGATTTTATCGATTTTTTTGTAAAGTTTGACCTGCGGGACTGGGAGTTTGCACAGGGGGTAATCGAGCATGCAGATTACGAATACAATATTAGTTTTCAAGATCGTCCATTACTTTTATCGATTTTATCGATTTTTTGAAAATTTGAGCTAGGGGGCTGGAATTTGGCACAGGGGTGTAATCGAGCATGCTGATCACCCCCCTTGGGGATGATCAGCATGCTCGAATACCCCCCTGTGCCAACTCCCAGCCCCCTAGCTCCAACTTTGCAAAAAATCGATAAAATCGATAAAAGTAATCGATAATCCCGAAAACCAATATTGTATTCGGAATCCCCATGCTCGATTACCCCCCTGTGCGAACTCCCAGCCCCGTAGCTCAAACTTTGCAAAAAAATCGATAAAATCGATAAAAGTAATCGATAATCCTGAAAACCAATATTGTATTCGGAATCCCCATGCTCGATTACCCCCCTGTGCCAACTCCCAGCCCCGTAGCTCAAACTTTGCAAAAAAATCGATAAAATCGATAAAAGTAATCGATAATCCTGAAGACCAATATTGTATTCGGAATCCCCATGCTCGATTACCCCCCTGTGCCAACTCCCAGCCCCGTAGGTGAACTCAGCAAAAAAATCGATAAAAATCGATAAAATCGATATCGATCGATGACGAAAAGTAGCCTATGACACCCGCCGGGGCCCCTAGTGTATGTGTGCCAAGTTTGGTCCGGATCGGTTCAGAAATGGAATTTTCTATTCGGAACATACGTACACACATACATACATACAGACAGACATACATACATACATACAAACAGACATTCAGCTTTATATATAAGATATATATACTAGCTGATGGTCCCGGTCTCACCCGAGACTCTTAGTTCAATCAAAATGGGATACGGGAATGAACTCCTCCATTTTGGAACATCTCCGCGGACTATTGGTCCTGCAACCACAACCGCAATATTTCTAAAGGACCGGTTTCCGGGAAAGGTGGGCTCAAACTGGCGGAGTTCGTCCCCTTGCCTATTAAAATATCATCGGCTCCCAGATCCGTGTAGAGGCGGGTTGCGCACCCTGATTTTCGAGATAAACTCGTTAAACCTCCACGTTATAGCATTGTATTTCGTACTCTCTCGTTGAGCTTATCTTTAATTTAGTGAAGTCCGCAGCACGCCTCCACAGGAATCTGAACCTTCAATTTAGTGAAATCCGCAGCTCGCCTCCGCAGGAATCCGGAAGCCGATCATACTTCCACTCTCTAACTTCGATAATGCGCGAAAAGCGCTCTAAGACGAACCCGCTGCATCCTGTCGACCTTGAGATAAGAATGAACTTTACTAACCCTGCCCACATGTTTACTGGAAAATGATTGGTCAGAGCACGTCAAACTCTCATTTTCCCAGATTTACGTAAACAAATCAATAAATCAATAGAAGGACCCTGCGAATCGCCGCAAAAAGTAGCCATAAACCACCGCCGGGGTAGAAAACATAGGTGTGCGAAGTTTTAGCTCAATCGGTGTAATGACAGGCGTTTCTATAACGAACGAACAACTAAACGAACATCCTCACAGACATTGAGTTTTATTAGGTTGTCAAGAAAATAATGTCAGTTTTTATTTGCTTGCTTTGACAAAGCAACCAGACTCAACCCAACAAAGGGTAAGGGGTACTGTTCGATAGAGCAAAGTAAGCTCTACAAGATGACACTCATGTCTTTGCGCCATGCTCGATCCACGGAGAGTTCGAACTCAAAATCTAAAGATTTCCAAATGCCCAAAAAATCGAAAAAAATCAGATCTTCGTCCAAATAATTTCCACGGACCTCCCACTCGCTCACATCAATACTATCGATATCTGATATCCATATGTGCGATTGCCGTATTTTTTCCTTGACTAGAAACTGAGAAAACGAAAATTTCCCTGATTTTCTCAAAGCAATGCTGAGCCGTTTCTGCAAGTGCAGTTCTATACTACAAGCCTAGGTAAGTATAACTGTAGATTTTCAGCGCATTCCAAGCGGTAGTTTTCGAAAAATAACGAATTCGGATTTTTTCGTTCCAGTTTCAATGCTAAAATCGACATTTCTCGAAAAGTACCGCTCGAAATAGGCTGAAAACCTACAGTTATGCTTACCTAGGCTTGTAGTATAGAACTACATATGCAAAAACGGCTCAGCATTGCTTTGAGAAAATCAGGGAAATTTTCGTTTTCTCAGTTTCTAGTCAAGGAAAAAATACGGCAATCGCACATATGGATATCAGATATCGATAGTATTGATGTGAGCGAGTGGGAGGTCCGTAGAAATTATCTGGACGAAGATCTGATTTTTTTCGATTTTTTGGGCATTTGGAAATCTTTAGATTTTGAGTTCGAATTCTCCGTGGATCGAGCTTGGCGCAAAGGCATGAGTGCCATCTTGTAGAGCTTGCTTTGCTCTATCGAACAGTACCCCTTACCCTTTGTTGGGTTGAGTCTGGTTGCTTTGTTAAAGCAAGCAAATAAAAACGGACATTATTTTCTTGACAACCTAATATATATATATCAGTGGCGTACCCAGGATTTCGGCTCGGGGGGGGGGGGGGCGCGACAAAAAATTTTTTCTAATAAAGGTGCGTGGCGTTAGCCACGCACTCCGAAAAAAATTTTGCGGTGCTTCTCAAAATTTTTGCGGGTCCCTAACCCCTAAAATCTGGAAAAAGGGGGCGTGGCGTCAGCCACGCCCCCGAAAAAAAATTTTTTGTAAGGCTGAAATGAATTTTTAAAAATTTTTAAAAAATATTTTAATTATTTACAAGTACGAACAAGTCATTTGCACAATTTTATAACTCATGTAAGTAACTTTCAAAAAGTTCGCGACCCGTTCTCGAGGGGGGGGGGGCGCGCCCCCCCCCCCTCCGCCCCCCCCTCGGTACGCCACTGATATATATATATAGATATATCGTCGAGTCATTCGTAACTTAATATGCGTATTGCACACCATGTGTACTAACTGACGAAATGCAAAAATAAAACCTGCTCATTTGCAGTGATTTCTCCTGATTTTTTTGTCCATTTTGTTTTTGCCGGATATGTGTTAGTCAGTAGAACATATCTCTACAGTTTGATAGGCTAGAAAATGTTTTACTGAAAAGTTAGGTAAGGGCGCCGTGGCTAATCGCGCAAAATGTGCATTCTCACATATTAAGCTACAAATGACTCGAGGATATATAGATTTTAAAAATGGTTGTGGGCTATTGTGAGAACTTTGTCCAGTAACGCATGATTATTTTAACTCTCTCTAGCTATTTCCTTCTCCAGAGAACATGTATGATTAGTTTACCCTTATGACATAACATTATAGAAATTTAGAAATTGAGTATATAGAGGTGAATAGACAGTCAGGTATACAGGCGTAATATAGGAGGTAAATGAGAGTGGTAAATAAGGAGATTACGATAGAAGGTAGAAAATATCGAGGGTAATGAAAAGGTTACTTGGGTACGAACGATACATAAAGAATACAAAACAATGGCCAGCCGAATCTGGCGGCGGAAGTGCAAGAGAGAACCCCCGGAGGCGCGGTTACTTTCCTTTTATACTCGCATTAACGGCGGGCTATGCGGGCGCAACCAATAGCGCAGTGGCCGTAACAGGCAATCATTCTACCAACTATGCCTCAACATAGACCTAATGTCTTCGCATGACCCCTCCTCGCGGCGATTTGTCAGCCGGTGACATGTGAACGCCGCGCAAAGGAGAGGTGACAGCGCTGGACTAGAAACGGCATTGCCATTGGGACGTATGCATGCTCAAACGTTTTAACATGTCTGCTTTACAAAACCGAGTCCATCTGACTTCATTATCAACGCGCGAATGGAGGCGGTTTGGTGCGATGTTAGCGTATCGCGCCGTGCACGTTAGGCCATGCTCGAAAGAGTAACGCGGAACGGTAGTTCAAAAGTTACGCCGTGTTTTATAAGATCCGAGTCAAAAGCAATCAATGTTGCAGTTAGCGTATCTGTCCTTAGCTGAGAACGGTACTGCTGTCGCATTGAAAAATTGCGAAAATCAGTTAGAACATGGCAGGCGCTGCATGCTTTTAGATTCTTTGAACATGGCAAGTCGACGAGCTGAATGCACTCAAGCGTGCAGCAAAGGCTCAACCTTCTTGCTATTCTCTTCTGAGCATACAACCGGGTAAGAGAAGAGCAGCATACTAATCAGTAAATCTCTTACCAAAGATTGCCCACCAAAAGCTTCAAAGCGCTAGTTGATTACTCACCACAAACATGCTCATTGAGTTTGAAAACTTCTAACAGTCCAAATATCAAAAGTACGATACAGAAACCAGCTTCACAAAGCGCACAAGCTTCCGTTTTGCGATCTTAAGTTTCCTCGTTATTCAGGTATCGTTTACAGAAAACTCTGCGAAGGCGACTCACAGTGTACGATGAATTTGCTTTCCAGCAGCTCATCAACTTTGAATACGACTTCAGGCTGAGTCTTTTCATCGCCGCCATGCATCAGCTAATCCGTTATAGAAATGAGAGATGCTTTCGCAAAACTTTTCTTAAATGCTTCGGTAAGCTGATAGCACTCTTAACATTCCTCTCGCGCTTTTCATGATAGGGGTCAAAGTAATGGGTATCAGTGTGCCCTATGTAGCCTTTCAAGAAAGTGCACATGAGCATGGCTTGGCATAATCTCAAAGCAAATTCAGGAATTCACTTCAAGCACTCAATTTCCATTCTCAACCATGAAGTTCGACAATGCAGTATTTTGGGTACCTACCTATCCCCTGATTATTGTCTGAGCGGACAGACACATAGTACTATGTCTTTTCGCTCACAAGTGGGAGACTGATACAAGACTTCTGTCAGATAATCTTCCGGAATCTTCATAAGGCGCACTCTTATGTATAAGCACAGTGCAACATGTCAATCTTACGCGTAATTTAGCTCGTCGTCTAGATCCTCCTGACTAGGGGTTCAAGGCACTTGCACCTCGCCTCAGTAAGGTGCGACAATTTTTTTAGAAATGGTGCGATTTTCAGCATTTATGGCTTTGACCGTACTTACCAGTGTTGCCCGTGTTACTAGTGTTATTTATGTTACTCGTGTTAATAGAGTGTTACTAGTGACACTAGTGTTACCCTTTTACTGCTATTAAAGGCAGTGTCCGGGCAAAAACTCGACTTTGAGATTTTGTGCTTATACGGGCCTATTCGCCATGGTGAATCCGAAAATCCACATTGGAAAGCGCGAAAACGGCGAAAAAGGGCTCTAACACAGGAGGGAAATCAGCAGGTGGGGGGGCTTTCCCCACTGCGATTTCACGCTCCCAGCTCCAGGAGCGATTTTCTCGATTTTGCTAGCCGTTCTAACATCGCTACCGGTCAAGTGCGAGTGATTGACTTGAAACCGGAAGCGAGAAGGTCGCTCCAGAAGCGGAACGTGAATTTGCAGTGGGGAGGACCCCGCCCACCTGCTCATTTCCCTCCTGTGTTAGAGCCGTTTTTCGCCATTTTCGCGCTCTACAATGTGCATTTTCGGATTCAGCGTAGCGAATAGGCCCAAGTAAGCGCAAAATCTCAAAATCGAGATTTTACCCGGACAATGTCTTCAAGTAGTGAAGAGATCACAAACAGTCTCATTCTACTAGGCTGTTGCAAAAATAATGTTCGTTTTTCTAGGCCTACTTTCCAAACAAATTTTTTCGTTCACAGTTTCTTTCTCGATAAGGACTCTGCATATCTTTGGAAAGGTTTCCTCATGTGCTTTTTAATAATGGTAAATTTGAGCTTCTATCTCATCTGTGAAATTTTCACCAGCATCTCATACAGCTGCACTCAAAATACAAATTGCGTTACTTTAACTCCCTTGGCCGCGATTCAAGCGCAAATGAACGAATTCTTTTGAAAACATAGCTACTGTAGTGATTGAATATTGTTTACCTATAGCATGTTTAAGCAGATTTTTCGAAAACATCTGAACCGAGAAATCAACGCCCCGAAATAAATACTCGCTGCTGGCATTCTATAGGTCCAAATTTTCTCATAATTAGGACAATTGCCGAAGCTTTACTCATTTTGGTATGCTCGAGGTCAGGACATCTTGCCTACAATTTTTGCAGAAAAACTTAGCTATTCAGTGCATGAAGAATTTCAAATTTCCATGATTTGGGACTTTCTGGCCTACCAAAAATAAGCTCAAAAAGTGGACAATTTCAGATTTCTATCCATTTCGCAGAACTCCTTCGTTGAAGTTTATTCAAGCAGACGTATACTATTGGCTTGCGTCTACAGAATAAGCTGATTAACAGCCAAAGGAACAAGACTTAAAGGGAGTTGTAATTACTCAAAGACGAAATTTTCAATAGAAGAACTTTCGGTTACGCATGATTTTCTTCCCGCTTGTGATATCAGTAAGTGCCAGTGCGTTAGGTTACGAAAGGTTAGTGCTTTATATGGTTTCGATTGCATTCAAAAATATGAAGACTGAACAAAGTTATAGCCTTTCAAATTAAAACTTTGCAAAACGGACAGTATTTTTCTAATAAAACGAGTAACGAGTAACGAGTAACACTAGTGGAGTGATTGGTGGTAACACGAGTAATACTAGTAACACGGGTAACACTGGTAATACATGGTCAAAGCCTATGTCTATGTCATTGTTTCAGACAGGCTAAATGGGTACTTTTCCGTTATCCGGACCCATCATTTCAGAGAAGGATAATGCTTCTTTCCTTGCACTGTATTTGGTCCCACATCACAGGAATCAGTTTCAATTTTATGCCACGTGTCAAAAGAATTTGACATGCCATCTACATGTTTAACAAGTTTTGCCAAGAGTTTGTGATGTTCTACCTAACGACACAAGTTCAACCTGTTTTTAGTCAATAATGATCCCATTCTCGAGTGAACAATTTAAAAAAAAAAAAGGAAAATAATTATAGTGATAACGTCACCCTGCTATCAACGAACAAACTAGACATGCCCAGAATAGAGAATTGATGCCCAGAATAAAGAATTGTGCTAAGTTCCGTCATCTAACGATAAGCTTCGAAAAACCAGCAGCAAGGTACTACTTCAAGTCATTATTTGTAAACTTTCTTGGCTAAACACGCATGGCGGAAAGTTTGAAGAGAAACGCAACTTTAAACCATTGTCTGAAGCAATTAAGATAGTATAATGATGGTTCTAGATTGTTTTGCTTCTACAGAAATCAACTGAACAGCTTTCGGAAATGATTTCGAAACAACATGTCAAAATGGACTAGAACGTTTCAATTTCTTCCTGACACGTGACGGGGAAGCAGTCCTCGTAGAAATGATGAAAAATTGTTTTAAGACTACAGAATGTATTTTATAAGAGCCTTTTGAAGAAATGGGTGCGGATAACGGAAAAGTACCAAAATTTTTAATGAGGACAGTTTGACTTTTTGATCTCATACAGGTATCCCAAAAAAACGTGCACACTGTTTGATCATTGATAACTTCCTAGCTTCGATGTTTTTCGCCGTATTTTGGGTACCATTTTGTAGAGCGAGTCTCAGCATACATTTACAGTGTGGAGCGAATCATCGATCGCTCTTCGTTACTGTAGGATAACAGTAGAAATCTCGACAGGAGTTTTGGGCCATCGGAATTCGTATTCTGCCTCTGAACAAAGCCAAATAAGCCGAAAATTGTTATACTAAGGTAATGCAAGCCACTGATTTCAAATATGAACTTTCCACTTTACTATGATGCTTCTATCCTAAGTTATTCCAGTAATCTCTATTTATATAAAGAAAATCTGAGTTTGTTTGTATGCATTTGGGTGCAGGTTGTGCAGGTTCAGGGTGTGCAGGGTGTTCACGGTGTGCAGGTTGTGCAGGGTGTGCAGAGTGTGCAGGGTGTGCAGGTTGTGCAGGATGTGCAGGTTGTGCAGGTTGTGCAGGGTGTTCACGGTGTGCAGGTTGTGCAGGGTGTGCAGGGTGTGCAGGGTGGGGAGGGGATAAGTGAACATGCTTATTCGAGTATATTATTGACAGGACCGGGCGGAGGTTTGCCAGCTCGTACCGTAATAATTGATCCCAATACTTGTCAGAAACGTGATTACACCGTTAAAAAAGCTGAAAACACTTGTAAAAAGTTGTTCAGTGGAATCATCGTGCGCAAAAACCAGCACACTATTAGATTTTTTTGAAAGAAAAATTTGTCAAATGGCATTTTTCACAGTGTTTCCTAGTAGAAGTTCTTACCCTAATCCTATAGCAACAAAGAGCGATCGGTGGTTCACTCCATACTGCACATTTAAGTTCAGCCTCGCCCTACCGAATGGTACCCAAAATCGGCGAAAAACATCAAAGCAAGGAAGTTATCAAAGATCAAACTGTGTGCACATTTTTTGGGACACCCTGTACAATCATACTCTTCAATTTTTTCATTTGCGTCTTCAAGACTTACATACGTTCCTTATGGCAGCCTAAGCTAGTCGTAGTAATGGGCAAAGCTACTTCGTTTTTGCACCCAAAGTGTACCCAGCGCAGCTGCCACGAGCAGAAGACAGCGCAGACATCAGCGATACGCCAACACCCGCTATACCGCTATCGTCAGGTATACCTTAACCTTACTGTGGGGTTCAGGTGAGTATCTACACACCTACCGATCGCACCGTAAGCTATCGTATAGACTAGATATGCCAATCTAAATGCCACGTCAAGTGATGGTCCTATAGGGAGACGGCCCTTCTGAACCCACCGTCCCCTACAGTAATCTAGAACTAGGACGCGCGCGCACGCGCTGCGATGAGTGCGGACGAGTGCTCCGCGAAGGGCTCGTATTTTCGAAAATCACCAACTCTTTGCGCGCGGCTCTTGCTATATGGAATGCAAGCCAGTCATGCTGACCTTCCACCAAACACTGCTACCATCCTCTGAATGTCTGGTATTCTGAGCCCTACTTCCCAGCAGGTATGTTTATGAATTATGAGACATTTTCGAAGTCTTTTCATTCACATGATTAAAAAAAACTTCTCATGAATCTCCTTTGGATTCTTTCGGGACTTTGTTTTTTCTTGTGTTTTTTCCACTTAAATCCCTTGTGTGCGATCCTTATGACGTCGTGCATCGTCACCAGAGGTGCGATAGGGGGAGCCGGGTCCCCCAAAAGTGAAGGTGGTTTCAGCTACCACTGGCCGGCCAAAAGTGAAGGTGGTAGTGTCGGACACTCACCTTCCAAAAACGTCGACGGGGGGGGGGGGGGAGGTGCGGGGGGAGGATAGAACGGACGAACGGAGCTATCTTTCTAGGTCTAACGTCGACCCAACGGCCCTCTTTAGGGCCACAGATACGATGAATATTAAAAATATCTATAAATTTTATTTATAAAAATTTAAAATAGACGTGTTTAGTAAATGGTGTATTTGGAAGTGGAAGTTTGTTGGACTGTACGGATTTTATTAAGCAAATTTTGTTATAACGTATAGCGAAGGAAGTAGGTCGATCCAGGCAGTAACGGCCGAGAACCAGAATTTTGAATAT